GGGGGGGGGGGAGCTATAGTGAGCCAGGAAAGGGAAGCCGCTAGCCAGTGTAGCACTCAATGGGCAAAATATGTTACTTGCACAGCATATCCCTTGAAGAGCTCCCTTGCGCTCCACTGTCCATTTAATGAGATTAGAAGGCTTTGTGCCTCAGGAACATCCCAGCCAGTTCAAGAGAATCCAAGACTAATCACTCTTAAATGAGAGGAAATAAAGTAGCTTTATTGGACATGATCTCACCCATTGACCTGCAGGACCCAGCCAGCATTACCTTGCAATGGGGCTACTCAGGCCAGGCACATCCATTACAAAACGCTTGGATGAGCCTTGAAGGAGAAACGGCGGAGTCCGTGGGGTTCTCTGAGCTTGGCTGTTTCCTCGCAGATGTTTCGTTACCCGGCCAGGCAACGTCTTCAGCGCTAGAACGGGATGGGGTTTGCTCTCTGTTTCCATACAGTGGCTTACCCTGCCAGTGGGGGTGGGGGGGGTTGTTTTGTTCTATTTTTTCCCTCTGGTAGTTCCTTGATTAGGGTATTCTGGTGATAACCTTGGTGTTAATCTCTGCTTATCTGGGTGATGACTGCCAGAGAGGAGATGTTCTGGTCTTTTGTTTCCCTGTTATTGTCTCTTTTGAATGGTGCATAGATGTTTATCTCTGTGTGCCTGGCGTTGAAGATGTTACCTAGCTGGGTAAGGGTTAGGGTTAGAGTAAGGAGAGGAGACATTTGCAAGAAAACCCAGCTCAGAGAACCTCAAGGACTCCACAGAAAACATAGTGTCAAATTAAGCAAGCAAATAGCCCCTCCCCAAATACACTTTTTCACTAAACTAAACCATCTGCTCAGCAGTAAAACATAGAAAGCCAAGGAACGCTGATCGGCTGGGAAAAGATCCCAGGAAGAATCTGCAAACAAGGACAGTGTAAGATGAAGTAACTCTAGAAAGAAACTATGTTCATGAAGTACTTCTGCTTCGTTCTTCCCAAGCTATAATTTCCTTTGCAACACCATTTCCTTATAGTTCCATCCTCACTACTGCACCAGTCTCACTAAAGACATGATGCTCAACCCAATCAAATACTGTACTCGGCTGCTTGTCTTGCCTGCTGGAGTGAAAATAAAGCAATTTGTGCTTCGGTGGCATCATGTGCTGGCCTCAGCTCCAAATAAGCTCATTCTCCTGCGGTAGAAGAGTTTTTCGTTGGTGTTCAGATGGTAATCATAGCAACAGTGCATGACCGGAAACCACGCTTCCTGCTTGCAGTCACTAGACATGATTATCCGCCAAACAGACGCAGGTTCTGGGACAGCTACCGCAGGTTCTGGGACAGCTACCGGTGGCTTGTGCTGGACATGGAAATGCTTGCAATCACCCCCGAATTCCCCCTTCCAGTTATGGGATTTAGGCTCCTTTTAGGCAGACTTAATCCTAAACAATACATTCATCTTCTCATGAAAACGACTACTGGACCCTAACAAAAAACTTCAGGTGCACAGCCAGATACCCAGCAGGGCTGCTGGGGTCTTCTGTTGTATCAGGGTTGTCTCCCCACTTGGTGGATGTGCAAATGGGGCATTGGGTTTTGGCTCTGGGGAGCAGGCTTGTTTCCTGAAGACCAAGGGGGCTGCTCTAGGGAAGCTGGGAGGCGATGACCCATAAGCGTCCCACCTCACTTGTCTCACCGAGGAAGAGTTCAGAGGTTGAGAAGAAGGTGGGAGGTCCGGAGGGCAGGTGCAAGATTGGATGATTGGCTAAAACAGGCTGTGTCTGAAAGCTGAAAGAAGGGGGTGGCGGTGGGGCCACTGCCTGCTCCACCCACAGGATCCTGAACAGAGGAGCTTTTTAAAGGATTTATAGGAAAGGGAAGTTAACAGAGATGCTTGGGGGTTGCGCCAATGAACTGGTGGGTTGCCATTGCTAGCACATTGCTACATGCTGTGGAGTGGTTAGAAATCAGGCTCAGGCTGCAGAAACTGCTGCTGGTGGTGAACACCAGATCTGTGCGCAGGAAGACCACTTTCTTCCATGATGCAGTGGTGGACGGACACCAACTTGACAGGTATTACTGAGACCCGGCTTTGCTGTGATGCCAAGGTTGGAGAGGATTATTCAAGAAGACCTGCCCAGTGGCCAAAATCACTGCCCATGAGAAACTGGGTGCAGAGACAAATTAGGGACGTAGCTGGCGTGCCAATTGTCTGGCTCCCCAGCAGGATCCCTTCACAAGCTCCCGGACCTCATCTTGGGGCCGATGTTAGACACCCAAAAGCATACACTATCGTCTTGAGTGACCAACTTCCATGGAGAGCACTGACAATCTGTCCTTTCCCTCGGTTAGATCACTTTGGCCAAATTGTGCATTGTGGACACCCTGGACGTCTGCGTATTAGAACGGGCTGCTCCAGACACCTAAGGGGTACAGAAGGTTTCCAGAGGGCGCTTTGGCATGTTCCCAACAATTCAGCAGGCAGCTCGGTGTCAGGCCGGGTTGACCGCTGGAGCACAGAGGCAGCCAGAGCACCGGGTGAGTTTGCCGCCTCTGTGCGGCCTCACTCAGGCAGCTCCTTGGTTCTTCTGAGGAGTCGGAATTGAAAAGACACCTGGAGCATCGGGGCAGAAAGGCAGCGCCGAACGCCGCTAAGGGTCCACGGCCGAGCCCCCTCAGCGGCACTCGGGGCGGCAAAGCGTTCCTGCTCCTCGGCCCCGTTATGCCTCTCCAGAGTGACCCAGGCCCCGCTGGGGGCCACGGGCGTGACACGGCGCCTGCGGACCGCCCGGGCGCGTTGCTTTTTCCTGCAAAGCAAGCTGCACCTGTTCGACTTCGGGCCCCTACCTGGACGGCTTTTCAGCTTTAGAGGCCGGGGAACCGGGTCAGGCTCTCGGTAGCACGAGCTCTGCGCTGCGTGCGCTGGGCTGGGGAGCGGGTCGCGCTTCTCCGGAAGCTCCCCGCC